ATCTTGTATCTGGTGAGAAAGGTCGGTTCTTGGTCTGGTCTGCACCTTTACGGTATGCAACAGATGATGATGATGATGATGATGATGATGATGATAGGGATGAGCAACGCCCTATGATAACAAGCTTTGCCAACCGCGCCCCATGATGGTGAGATATTGATGATGGTAATACAATGATGAATGACGAGCAGCAACCCTGATGAACGGTTCCTTGATAATGATGATGATACTAGCGCCGAACAGGAGTGAAGACGTACGCCTTGATGATGATGACGAGCAGTACCCTGATGATGATGATGGTGGCGACGAGCAGCCCCCTTTAACCAGTATTATCGAGCAAAAGTGGTGCGGATAAGAATCAAAACAGCACAACGATCGCCACAGTCATTTCATTGCAGCTGCCTTCCCCTGAACAGTGAGCCCATCAACTAATCGGAGCAAAAAGGTCGTCGCAGTCCCTTCCGGATGCTCGCACTTGAACGATCTTCCTCCTCCCACTCCACGTGAGAACGGGCTCCTCCCTTACTGCCCGCAATTCCCAACCACCCTCCTCAACACCGCGCAGGAGCGGAGGAACAAGGCCTCAACTATGGCCGAAAAAACTCATGGAGATTATCCTTCTTCCAACGATAATCTCCCCTTCGCCAGTGTGCCAACCTGCGACACCACTCGGACGAAGCGCAGAGCCGAAGACAACTTTCCCTAATTGGCAAAGCTGGAAGAGCGTCCAAGTAGCAGCCAACACGTCGATGGCCACTCAAGATATACACCATGCACTAGGCGGAAGATTCCCCAACCACCATCGCCCATCTGCGCACGTGAGATCGCCCAAGGACGTCGCAAAAAACGAAGTCAACTAAGCACCGCGGGGGCGCAACGGACCAGACCGATAGCGGAGCATCGCGGCGCTCCCGGTCGCGCCGCGCCGCACCGCGAGAAAGCTCAGGCCCATATTGGTTGCAGCCGCACCGAGCACAACAGATCCAGGTTTGGGCTGAGCTTTTTTCTTTTTTCTCTCTTCGCGTGTCTTTTTTTTTTTTTTTTTTTTCCTTTTTTTTTGCTGTAAGCTAAGCTGAGTAATGCTCTCAGTATATCTGGGTGAAATTGTGAGTTCCCCGGCCTCAACCCATCTGATTTGCAATGAATTGTTTGTGTTCGTGTAAAAAAAAAAAGGAAAAAGAATAAGAAAAGGGCGGCCAGTTTGGACGATTCGTCCACCCCTATGTACTAGATCTTGGTCTCATTTCTGAAATGATTTTTATTTTTTTAAGATAGATTCTCCTCTTCGACCCCTCACTGTCATGCTTGGGAGTTGTCATTCCGATTCCTTGGCCATGTCAGAAAGAACATGGCTGAGTGCGATAAGGAATCAACCAAGCCCTGTAGCGGTCTCCCCCCCCCCCCCCCCATCCCTACAACTATCTTGCTGGAACCCACGCTTGCCGGTGATAAGCAACCGGACTGATGCCCCTTGTGGGTTCAAAAAAAAAAAAGAAGGAAAGTGGTCGTCACAGTGTGGCCAACAGCAGCCGGTTGCGGGAAAAAAGGCTCTGGAGGATGTGGAGAGGGAGTTGACATTGGGCCACGCTCCACTACACAAAAACATTCTACATGTATCTGGACAGAAGCTTTGACCATATGCATTCGGACTCATCCAACGTTTTGGACTTAATAGGGAGCATTATTAGCTCCGGATGCATTTACAAGAAAGTGGAGGGAGGCTCATTGTTACATCATGGACGATGTGGAGAGAGGGATTGAAGGGTTATATTGTGTTACGGGGCAGAAGATGTGGAGAGAGATGTGAGAGGAGGGTTGGAGGGGCGAGCCGCTGAGCACATCAATCCAGATGAAGAATGACCGGATTCCAGAGTCATGATTGAGGCGGAAACAAGATACAAATGTCAAAGAACAAAAAGAAAAAGAAGAAGAAGAAAAAGAAACAAGATGCACACGGCAGCATGCAAAACACGATTCCAAGCAAGCCAGTGGACGACAGGAGAAGGGTTTTGAGAAAATATGGTCTCGACTCCAAAGAATGTGTCGTGAGCTCGTTGACTTGCCGGCGGCGGAGGTTTGTACCATTTCTCCCAAGAACAGGACAGAGATGCGGCCATAAGGTCGTCGCTTGGGAGAAAAAGGATAGAAAGAGAGAGAGAAATTAATTCCTGCGAAGGCATTTCGTAATTGTTCTGCGTGACATAATCGCTTACACCGCGATGCAATGCATGCCAATTTCACGGACCCGCGGCCAACTTGTTTGCGAAGCTTAGAGAGGAATGAACCAACTGCTTGGCGATGGGGACATCGGCTTTGGCACCCAAAAAAAAAAAAAAAAAAAAAAGCAATGGGGAACACTTTCTGAGCAGTTGTGATGGCGCTGATGGCACTGATGGGAGAAAACAAGAAGAAAATCTTACGGTCAGCTTCCCATGAACTCTTTAAGGAATTTCCGGAATTGCGATGGGAGAAAAAGAAAAAAGAAGAAGAAGAAGGGAGAAGAAGAAGAAAAAAATCTACCCGTGACAGCTGATGTGTCTTTTTGCTTTGTCTTGTTGCCACTCTCGGTTTCAGCTGCCCGCACAGCGCCATCCTGGGTGACTCAAGGTCCAAAGGTCAAGATCGCTTCACGCCATGGGGAGTGCCGATACTCTTCCTCAGATGTGATTAAAGCAGAAGCTGGTGAAGGAGCTACAAGCGATCAGAAGGAGAAGTGGAGGGGAGAAGATTGTGGAGAGAGCAAACAGGGAGGCCTTTCATAGGGGAGGAGGTCGTCGCCAATTCCTTCCTCTCGTTTTGGACGTCATAGGAGAACCACGGTGCAGCAGGCCGCTCTTGGTCATCGAGATCGCTCGAGGAGCCGCGGTTAGTTGGGAGAAGTGGAGGGCACTCTCCAAGGAGGTGGGACCAGGTGAGAGCGAGTGGCAGAAGTGTGGATCAGGTTTGCTTTTATTTGCGTGGGGCTCGTCTCTACGGGTAACCTCCTCTGAGGGAACTGGCTCGACAATGAATGTGAACGGCCAACAGGTGACGTCAGCTGCATAATGAACATGTCCATTCACTGCGTCGAGATTCTGATTAATTTTATTTTAGTAGTTGTCGGTTTGGTCATTGCAGGTGTGGACAGATTCGCAGAGTGAATTTGGACTCATTTGCAGAGTGAATTCCTAATCGTTTTGTTTGTGTACATGTCATCTGTCACTGGGATTTAAGATCAAGCAAACCAAACTGGTTCAGGACGGTCGTTTTGACGTGTAAGTAAAACATCAGAGGGCAAGTTGTACTGAATCAAGTGACCAGTGGGGTTCAGTAGCGTTCGGGCTCATTAACGTTCATTCGTAGTTTTCTGGGACTATTCTCTGGTGCCAAGGGACCAGAATGCATTTACACTGGGAAGTTGGGAACGGTACTGATTTCTCGAGGTTGCTAGAGTTTTTTTTTTTTTTTTTTTTTTTTTTTTTTTTTTCGGACGAAGAGTGTTGTTGTATAGGATTACAGGAAGAGATTGTGAAAGGCATAGTTCTCTACTGACGTGACACCTGTCTCAGCCTTTCTTTTGATTTAGGTATGATTGCATCACACAGATAGAAACGCACCAAAAGTGCGTCGTGCATAGTTCTTTGTTTTTCTTCTTATTTTTTGGAAAATGACAGCAGCAGCTCTCCGCTGATGAGGGAATTTTCATTGGAGCAGAGTTCAGGGCAGTCAGTTGTTCGTTACCCCTAATACTCTCTGTTGCTCTCTCTCTCTCTCTCTCTCTCTCTCTCTCTCTCTCTCTCTCTCTCTCTCTCTCTCTCTTCCACGATCTTTAGCTGCTGAGGTGTGTGATTTTTGAAGCGTTGGTAACCTCGACCAGGTTTGAGTGTTGACCAGCTTTTTGAAAAATGAAATATTGAGCTGCCTGCGCCGTGCTGCTGATAATGGAGATCCCAGCCATGGCCGCCACGAACTAAATCTTCCATGACCTTCAGCCGGTCAGGTGTGAGATTTTTGAAGTGCTGGCAGCTTCGACCAGGTTTGAGTGTTGACAAACTTTTTGGCAGACGAAGTGGTGAGTTGACTGTGCTTTGGTGTAGGTGATGGAGATTCCAGCCATGGTCGCCACGAACCAAAGCTTCCAGGACCTTGAGCCGCTAAGAGGCGTGAGATTTTTGAAGTGTTGGCAACCTCTACCAGCCATGGCGCCAGGTGAGTCGTCGCCAACAGTGCACCTCGACTGATCTCTTGTGCTCCGCTACCTCCTTTGGCCCCGGTTCCCCATGCTCATTCACATGAGCGCCTCCATTACCTTGATCTGCCAAGTGAAGCTCACGCATCTCGTCGAAGCTAAATGCTGCGTACATCTTCGTACTCCTCACTCCCCTGAGAACACAGCGAGGGCCCAGGAACACCCACCGAACAGGCTAGCAATGCCTGTTTGGTGGGTGTTTTCGGTCGAACTTGCACCTCTGCCTGGGCTCTCGCTGTGTTCTCGGGGGAGCGAGGAGTACGAAGTCTTACACAGCATTTAGCTTCGCGGAGATGCGTGAGCTTCACTCGGCAGATCAATGGAATGGAGGCGCTCACGTGAATGAGCATGGGAATCCAGGGCCAGAGGAGGCAGCGGAGCAGGAAAGATTGGTAGAGGTGCATTGTTGGCGACAACTCACCTGGGGCCATGGCTGGTAGAGGCTGCCAGTGCTTCAAAATTCTCACGCCTCTCAGCGGCTGAAGGTCCTGAACGTTTTGATTTGTGGTGACCATGGCTGGGATCTCCATCACCTGCACCACAGTACAGTCAACTCACTACTTCATCTTTCAAAAAGTTGGGCAGCACTCAAACCTGGTCGAGGTTGCCAGCGCTTCAAAAATCTAACGCCTCAACGACTGAAGGTCATGGAAGATTTAGTTCATGGCGTCCATGTGGTTGGGATCTCCAGGTATAATTGCATCGCACAAATAGAAATGCGCCAAAAGCAGGTCATGCATTTTTTTATTTTTTTATTTTTTTTTGGAAAATGACAGCAGAAGCTCTCCGCTGATGAGGGAATTTTCGTTGGAGCAGAGTTCAGGGCAGTCAGTTGTTTGTTACCCCAAATACTCTCTCTCTCTCTCTCTCTCTCTCTCTCTCTCTCTCTCTCTCTCCTGTCTCTTATACACATCTAGATGTGTATAATAGCTCTCTCTCTGTGTGTGTGTGTGTGTGTGTGTGTGTGTGTGTTGCACGCTCGAGCTTGGAGGCTGCTCTCTCTCGAGCACGGTTGCACCTGTCGCCAAAAACTAAAGTCGTCACAAACTACACAGCTTCCATGATCTTCAGCTGCTGATGTGTGTGATTTTTGAAGTGCTGGTAACCTCGACCAGGTTTGAGTGTTGGCCAGCTTTTTGAAAATGAAATATTGAGCTGCCTGTGCCGTGATGGTGGGGTGGCAACAGCCGTAGTGACCCTTAATGGCAGCAGAAATACTGACCCTTGGTGGCAATCAGAGTGGCGATGATGCGCGTCTGGCGCAATGGCTGCAATCAGCGTAGAGGTCGTGCTTGCTGGCACACTATTGGCGGGGCGTTGGCAGAATCCGGGCAAGGAAGTCATGGGAGTCCTAGTGCTCGGGTTGTCGTTCTGGACAGCGAGGCACACATGCTCCACCAGTTGAAGAGGACTGGGTTGAAGAGTTCATGAGGCATGGCTTTTGGTCTGAGTAATATTTTGCCAAAGCTCGATCGTCATGTGTCCTCGATGTGAATATCCAATACTTCCAAGGAAGCAGTTCGTCATGTCTTCATTTGAGAGGCTACAGTTTGTTTATGTAAATGACTGTCGTCTTGGTCTTCTGAGTTTTCTCTCTTCGCGTGCATTGCAAGTCTGCGACATATGACAATCACATGAACTGCTGCGGATTGACAGATGGGGATTTCAAACCCACGCGGGATGCAAAGCGCAGGTTTGCTCGTCGATGGTGTGGTTGTGTTGTTGGTGCTTTGTTTATTTGAGGTGTGTGTGTGTGTGTGTGTTCGTTCTTTTGGTCACATGTGGTATATGCGAACATAGATTTCCACGAGCCGACCAGAAGGATGGAAAGCGCGACCTCCCGGTCAGGAGGTAAACACTCAACCGAACAGCTAATTGAACGGGAGGTCGCGCGGTCCATCCTTGTGGTCAGTTCGTGAAAGTTACGTGCTGATGTAACGTGGTGTAACTGTTCGGATACACAACTGGTGATTGGCAGATGAGGATTTTTTTTTATTTTTATTTTTTTTTTGGTGCCAGGGTTCCCAGTGGATGTTGATATAATTGTATATGTACATGTATATGAATACTATACACATGTTTAATTAAGAAAATAATAATGTTTTATTTGTCTCTATAAGTGTAGATGTATATGTATACATATGTTTAATTAGCAATACATTTTTTTTTATNTTTGTCTCTATAAGTGTAGATGTATATGTATACATATGTTTAATTAGCAATACATTTTTTTTTATCTGTCTCTGTAATTGCAGATGTAAACGTTAGCGTTGTGGCTGTGTCGATGGTTGGTTCATCTGGCGTGTGTCCGTCCGGCCGGTTCGGTCTGATTTGAACTCCGTGTTAGCGAGGAAAGGGGACTCTGTGGATTGCGCCACTATTTGTGTTCTTTCATAAGAAGAACGGCAGAGTAGGTTAAGTTATCTGTTTGTATGTTCATGTAAGAAGAAAAAACATGGAACAGTTTTCTTCTCTATGGACGAAGAAAATACTTCTGCTACCGCCGGTGGAGAAGAAAAATAACCAAGTATTACTTGAAATGGTAAGTTACGTAGGAGAGAAGACGAAAGAGGAAAGGGGACTATGTGCATTGCACCACTATTGTCAGCAATGCAATGCAATGCAATGCAAATTGAATATGAATGGCAAGTGGAAGGAGCGAATCTGATAATCCAGCGAATTCACAGAGCTGACAATTGGGGAGATGTGTCAGCAAAGCTAGCGGGTGACCTGATCCACGAAGAAGGAATGATGCTGATCGGAAAGAAGGGGCTCGCCACAGAACTCCCCGAGATGATGAAAAGTTATGGGAGTGCTCTCCAACGTGAAATCCCATTGGGGAGCGCCGTTCGCCATACTATGCTCTCTCTCATACGCAATGCTCTCCAGTGTGCGCGCCTTCGGCCCTCGCGTTCGTCGGCTGTTGTCCCGTCTAGCTCCACTCTCAAATCTCAGAACTCTCTCTCTCTCTCTCTCTCTCTCTCTCTCTCTCTCTCTCTCTCTCTCTCTCTCTCTCTCTCTCTTGGGGCGGAAATTGAAACTTGCAGGCTGGGAGGCCAAGGGGATTTCGGGAGTGCTCTTGGGCCATATGCATTCTGACAGTTCCCGAATTCAGTGTGACACATTGAATCCGGGAGCTGGTGTGGTGGTGCTGCACTCCCGGAAATGGTCATTTAAAAATGGCCGGAAATGGCCATTTCCGGGAGTGGTGAGGTGAGTTAGAGTTTTGTAGGATGTGGATATGTGCATGGCAGGAGCTGTTGATGGAAAGATGGGCGGATATATGCCAAGTGCATGACCGACTACTGAATGCGGATATGGAAAGATGGGCGGATATAGGCCAAGTACATGACCAACTACTGAATGCGGATATGGAAAGATGGGTGGAGAGATGGATGGAAGGAGAACGAATTAAGGAACATGATGCTTATGTGGCAGAGAATTGTGTGGGGTGGGTATGGCCTAGTACATGACCAAGTACTACATTGCTTGCTTGTGGAAGGTGAGCGCAGTGTGCGAGCATGTGGCGTCGTCGACAGTAATTGGTCGTGGACAATGAAATGACGGGAGTGTTTGGTAGGTAGGTGTGGTTCCGGAAAGAAAAAAGGAAAAAAAAAGAAGATATGTAGGTGTGCCTGAATGCATGGATCGATGCTTGGCCGGATGATTGCGATAAGGAAATGTCTGTGCGTAAGGGATGAAGCTTTGGCGGTGAGCATGTGTGTGTAGTCCGTCAGGTCGTCTGGCATCAATGGTGTGGTAGACGGGGAGGGCAAAACAATAATAATAATAAATATATATATATCGTCACATATATAATTATTTTAATATATATATATATAGACCCAGTTTGGTACACTGCGTTGGAGCAAAGCTGGTTCGGTTCGCAGGATGGTCCAGAGTTGTTGAAATGATATGTGCGCGTTCACTGGAGCCTTGGACCATCTGGTCCAAAATTTGCAACTCTGACGAGTATGAACCGTCGGGTAGGATTGGTCCATTGACATCGACTCCATGTTTTGCTCTAGTTGAACCATCTGGTAAGGTTTTGGACCAAAGCAGATGGTCCACATTGGAGTGGGTGGTCCAGTACTCCGACGCCCAACTCTGGACCATGTGCTGAGAGAGAGAGGGGGAGAGAGAGATTGGACCATCTGCTCCAACTGGAAGCTGTGGACCATCTGGTGAGAGAGCCAGTTTGGACCGGTGGAACATCTGGTGAAGATATATTGGACCATCTGGTTGCACCTTTGGACCACGTACTCGTGAGACTGGACCACCCCACTCCAATGTGGACCATCTGCTTTGTAGCTTTGAGGGACCATGTGGTGCGATGGGACCATCAGTTCCAATTTGGAACTCTGGAACATCTGCTGAA